AGTGGGACTGGCATGGAATCAGGGAGTGAACAGAGGTGGGGGAAGCACATCTGGGGGCCCTTACTCCCCTAACCAACTATAGTATGGATGACCCGTTTGCTTCATGATCTCGAGGGAGCTTGCCACCCCACTTCCCCCACAATGCACTGGACCCACTCACAGCTCCCCCTCCACGCAGGGTGCAGCTCTGACACCCAGCCTCCCGGACCCAGCAGCTCTTGTCTGCTGGGCTCACCGACAGCGGCTCGAACGCTTTTATAGACACCCTGCCTCCTGTCATTCCCTTCTTCACCCAGAGGGGGGCAAGCACAGGGGTGCTGGGGTGTCCAAAAAATGCCCCCCCGGAATCCCAGCAGCCCCCTGCTCAGCTGTCTCTTCTGGAAGGGAAGTAACAGTAACAGCACTCAGATGGGACCTACTGTGTCCCAGGCATGGCTCCCAAGTGCTATCTATATATTTACTAACTTGTCTGAGCCTCAGCACCACCCTCTGACATGTTCAATGATGAGCTCTCAATAAAGACGGAAACCAGGGCCCAGAGAGTTAATGACTTGCCCAAGCTCATGCAGCGAGAAAGAGATCTAGTTGAGAGCAGAGCAGGCTCCCCAGCTTCCGAGTCCACGCCTTTACTCCGGGTGGGGCCCGGGCCAGGTGGCTCATGTGGGTGAAGCGTCTTTCTGGATACCAGAAGGTTGCAGGTTTGATTCCTGGTTAAAGGCAATGGATGGAGGTTTCTTCCCCAGCCCCCTCCCCTTCAAATGAATAACCACGGATCCTCCAGTGAGAATTAAAATGTAAAAAGCTCCGACCTAGTGGGAATGGCAAAAGCCTGGCCTTTCTTGTCCTGTGTCTTCATTTGAGCCCTGAATGAGAAAAGTCCCTCTTTCTTTCTTTTTAAAAAATATATATTTTGTTAATCTTTTACAGAGAGGAATGGAGAGTTAGAAACATCAATGAGAGAGAAACAAAGGTACATGCCCTTGACTGGAATCGAACCTGGGACCAACCCCTCAGTCTCCAGGCCGACCCTCTATCCACTGAGTCAATAAACCAGTTAGGGCGAGAGGTCCTTCTTTCTACTGCTGATTCGCTGTGACTACCTCCCATCCTTCCTTAATGGGTGTGTCTGTGTCCTGAAAGCCATATTCGGCAGGCGCGTATGTTTGAGTGTGTGTGTGTGAGATTACACTTCATCATATGACACCGAGGACCTCCTAGTCGGGTCCCCTGAGGTGTGTGTGTGTGTGTGGGGGGGGGAGACGGTGGAGGACCCAGTGCCGTGTGGTCAGAGCACGTGATGCCAGTGCCAGGGAACAGAGAGAGCAAACACATCTGGGAAGTAACTTTCCACTCGCCTCCCTCGCCGCCCCCCGTGCGTCTTTCCTCCTCCTAATCTGATCTTGGTATTTATGGAGACGATAACCAGATCACGCCCTCCGAGGACGGACGGCAGGAAGACCCCACCGCCCCGCTGATCTCATTACCCCGAGTCTTGTCAGCAGATCTGCCGCCCTGCTGCTCATTTAGGCTGGGGCTAACCATATTAATGGAAATATTAAAGATGTCGCAAAAATGAATTATAATGAACTCCTCCCACTCCTCTTCCCCGTCAGCAACCGGGGAGTCAGCTGCCCACGCAGCATAATCCCTCTCTTAGTTTGTGGTCCCTCCAGATGGAAGGCGTTAGTCTTTGGGGAGAGGCAGGTTTGGGGGAGGAGAGGGGGGGCCTCTCACAGGCCCTCTTTGCTGCGTGCCTGTGGCCACATCTCTGTTTGCCTTCAAGCAACAGGGGAGGGAAGCCCTGGGAGGTGAGGACTGGGGGGGAGGGGGGTAGCCCCAGTGACTCGGAGGCCCATCCCAGGAGGAAATGGTTTCAAAGCTCTGGGTCCCCCAGGATGCTTTCCCTGCTCACTGTCCCCAAGTCCCACCCTCCCCTCCCCTCTTTCTTGTTCCACTGCACTCCATGCTAAATTGCCCTACATAAAAAAGATGATTTTTAATTGAATTTATTGGGGTGACATTGGTTCACAAAGAAGATTATTTACTTCATAGAGGGAGAACTCACTCGTGGGTTCAGACGTAGGAAGTGAGAAACGCTGAGTAAGTGGGCTGTTTTCCAGAAAGGGCCAAAGGTGGTAGCGCTGTGTGTGGGCGGAGTGGAGAGCCACCAAATGCTTGCTGGCCTCGCTAATTAAAGACAAAGTGAAGACAGCTGCAGCAGAAAGTACCAAAAACTGAAAGGACAAAAATTCTTTCCCTCGCGTGGTTCCTGCCTCAGCGGGAGAGGCAGACAGGAGGCCCACGGTGTGCAGCAGCGAGGACTGAGATGTTGTTCAGAAAACAGAAGCGGACTCTCTCACTGACACACGCGGGTATTGGGATTTGGGCCCTGAGAAAGGGTTGGTTGATTCTCAAAGCACAAGAAAGTCATAGACCAGCAGAAGAGGAGATGAATTACTTTGGTTTTGGGGGGTGAGGGGTAAAGAGAATGGTGCATGCATTTGCAGGCATGTGGGGGTAGATTTGCCAGTCTAGACCAGCAAATCTATATAATTTAAAATTTGCTAGGAGCCACATTTAAAAAAAAAAAAAAAGAAAGAAAGAAAGAAAAAAAACAAGCCTCGGGGGGAGGAAAGGACAGAGAGATCTCAAGACGAAATTACATTTTTTATTTTTTAGAAAAATATTTATTGCTGGAAGTCCCCTAGAAATTACTTTTAATAATATAGTTAATTGATGTATATTCAAAATATTATTCAACATGTAACCAATATAAAGAGTATTAATGAGATACATTACATTTTAAAATATATTTTATTGATTTTTTTACAGAGAGGAAGGGAGAAGGATAGAGAGTTAGAAACATCACTGAGAGAGAAACATCAATCAGCTGCCTCCAGCACACCCCCCACCGGGGATGTGCCCGCAACCAAGGTACACACCCTTGACCGGAATCAAACCTGGGACCCTTGAGTCCACAGGCCGATGCTCTATCCACTGAGCCAAACCTGTTGGGGCAATTACATTTTTTAAATTAAGTCTTCAAATCTAGTGTGTATTTTACACTTACAGCACATCTGACACAGCACCATTGCACGTGCTCAGTGGGCACAGGTGGCTGTGGTGGCCGCACTGAACGGTACAGCTCTGGAGGCTCCACCATAACCATGCTGGGGGCAGAGGGTGGGGGCAGGCCTTGGCCATCAGGAACCATCGCCTCTGATAAATCTCTGCTCCTGCCTGAAAAAAATCACCTCTGACAGATGGCAGCTTATCTGCCTCTCCCTCTGTTAACTCTCTCTCCCTCAGAACTCAAACAGCCAAGAGGACTGCTAACCTGAAGGGGGTTCCTAGGAAGAGGCCTGTAGCCACAACCTAGTCTGCCTCTTTCGGACTTTTCTTGGCTTGGGAACTGCCAACATATTCTCTTCTTCTTCTTCTTCTTCTTCTCCTCCTCCTTCTTCTTCTTCTTCTTCTTCTTCTTCTTCTTCTTCTTCTTCTTCTTCTTCATATATATATATATATATATATATATATATATATATTATTGATTTTTCACAAAGAGGAAGGGAGAAGGGTAGAAAGTTAGAAACATCGATGAGAGAGATACATCCACCAGCTGCCTCCTGCACACCCCTCACCAGGGATGTGCCCGCAACCAATGTACATGCCCTTGACCAGAATCGAACCCAGTCTGCAGGCCGATGCTCTATCCGCTGAGCCAAACCGGTTTTGGTTTCATTTCTTCTTTTAAAATGTGTTTTTTAATTGATTTTAGAGAGGAAGGGAGAGAGAGAGAGGGCCAGGGAGAGAGAGAGAGAGAGAGAAATGTGGGTGAAAGGCTGCCTCCTACAGGTTCCCCACTGAAAATTGAACCCCCAAACCCAGGTTTGTGCCCTGACCTGGAATCAAACCAGCAACCTCTTGGTGCATAGGATGATGCTCAACCAACAGAGCCTTATTGGCCAGGGCAACAGTTTCACTCTTTCCCTCAGCCTTTGCCAAGAGGCTAGAGGCAGACCACCGAGGGACCCCAAGGCCAAGGCCTAACGCAGGGCCTGTTTCTCCGGTTGTCCTTGCTCGTTGGGCAGCTGCTCACAGGTGCCCCTTGGGGCTCTCTCCTCTGGCTCCCAGAAGCCCAATGCTGGGCAGGGCAGGCTCCCCGGGGCATGGAAAAGTGCGCGGGGAGAGCCAGATCCCTGTTCTTCCCAGGCTGTTATTCGCAGCTCTCGGCTGTATGTGTCACTTCCCTTCCTAATTAGCTGCTAGAAGGACGCCTCTGGAAGGCCGGCTGCCTTTCCCCGCCTCTCCTCCAGTGGAATGGAGGAAATAATTCAGAATGCATGCGCATCAAGCGAACCTACACCAGAAAGTGAGTCCCGGAGGGGAGTCAAGGGGCAGGATGTTCCTCCAGGTCTTTCCCGGCATCTTCAGTCTGAGACTGTTTCTTCCTGTGCAGACCTCCGCTCACTCCGTCCTGTGGGTGCTTTCGTGCTGAAAAGCCAAGAGTTCAATGTCGAGGGTGCACAGGGCAGAGGAGCGGTCCGGCTTCGCGGAGGGCGGAAAGGGGAAAAGTCTGGATTCTCTTTCCCTCCTACCAGGCTCCAGCCAGCTTCCGCCCCAGAGAGGGCCAGGAACCGCATTCTGGGAGACTGCCTGCCTTTCCAGGTTTGCTCTAGAAACAGGAAATAAACTATTTGAACTTGGGGGGATGTCGAGAAGAAGGGATGACTCATTGCATATACCATCAAGTCGGGAAATGGGCCCCCCAAATCTGGGGAAGGAAGCCCTTTTAGAGGCCCCCCCTGAGCTCCGCCCCAGCTCCAGAGCCGCTCCAGACCCCTGCGCTCAGCCTTGGCCCCGAGGCCGGGGCAGGGCGGACCTGGGGGCGGGGCCAGGAGGGGCGGGGCCTGGGGCGGGGCCTGGGGGCGGGGCCTGGAGGGGCGGGGGCAGGGCCTAGTCCGCGCGCGCGCGCCCGTCGCCTTGACGACCACGACGCGATGACGACGCTGGAGGACGGGCAGCTGGGGCCTGACCCCGGGGCGCTGAGCTCCGAGCAGCTGGAGAAGCTGCGTGAGTACAAGGTGGGTGCGCTTCCGGCCCCCCCGCCCCCAGGATAAGGGCCCAGACAGGGAGGAGAACCCCGGGAGAGGGGAGCCTGTTCCCGACAATAGGGGGGGGGGGGAAGGCCCGGGAGAACCCCGGCGGATCCCTGGACGGAGCTCTAGCGGGCGCCTCAAAGCGTAGGAAGAACTAAAATAGGGACCTGGGACGAGACTTGGACCGAAGTGACTGATGTATTCGTTACCTTAGCTACAAGCCAGGAGCTCCCCGCCATGGAGACGCGACTGGGGTTCAGGCGCTTGAGCCCGGGGAGGTGGCAGCGGGGAGCTGTTGATCTGCCAGACCACAGGGCTGAGCTGTCCTGCGAAAGGACACCACCAGGACCTGAACCCCGAAACCTGCCTCCTGGCGGAGCATGTGACCCTTGGCTCTTGTCCCCAGATCCAGACGCGGATTGCTAACGAGAAGTACCTGAGATCCCACAAAGAGGTGGAGCTGCTGCTCAGTGGTTTCTTCCGGTAGGTGGGGCTCTGGGCTGGCAGGGAGCAGCGAGGGACAAAACTGTACCCAACCTGGGGATGGGGAGCGGGAGTGACTCTCCTGAAGCACCCCCTGTTGCTCCCTGGAGGGCCTGAACGTGACAAAATATCCGAAGGCTTAATTCTCACCAGCTCCGGGGTTTGTGGCATTCAGGGTTTTCTTGAGTTATCTCTAGAAGTTTCCTAGAGTTACCTCTAAAGTCTCCAAACTATCAATATTCATTCCCTGGAGCTGTCGGGGGTAACTACACACCTTGTGACACTTGGAAGAAGGAATTGGGCATGGTGAAACTCAACGGGCAGCCATTGGGCCCAGAACCGTGGTCGGCAAACTGCGGCTCGCGAGCCACATGCGGCTCTTTGGCCCCTTGAGTGTGGCTCTTCCACAAAACACCACGGCCTGGGCGAGTCTGTTTGGAAGAAGTGGCATTAGAAGAAGTTTACCTTTAAAAAAAAATGTGGCTCCCAAAATAAATGTCATTCGTTGTGCTGTTGATATTTGGCTCTGTGGACGAATGAGTTTGCCGACCACCGGCCTGGGCCATGGTTCTCCATCAGAGACTCTTAATGACGTCATTAGAACTTCACCACCTCCCCCACCTGAGAGCACAGTTGCAGAAAGACTGAGAGTTGCCGAAACCGATTTGGCTCAGTGGATAGAGCGTCGGTCTGCGGACTGAAAGGTCCCGGGTTTGATTCCAGTCAAGGGCATGTACCTTGGTTATGGGCACATTCCCAGTAGGGGGTGTGCAAGAGGCAGCTGGTCGATGTTTCTCTCTCATTGATGTTTCTAGCTCTCTATCTCTCTCTCTTCCTCTTTGTAAAAATATAAATATATATATAAAAAGAAAGACTGAGAGCTGAGTGATTCCTCTGTAAGTCTTGCGGGAAAGACAATATTCCCTCTTGTCCGGAGCGTGCTCTCTCCTTCCCCCACCCTGCCGCTCAGCATGGCGTTTGTTTGAATAGAAAAGTCTCCCAATGAGATGAACAACAAAGAATTGAGGGGGAGCAGCAAGGGGTGAAAATAATAGAATGATCTTAAATACTGTTCGGCTACCGACACATAGGCGAGGTTTAAATAGTGACCACAATGGCCTCCATCTGCAGGCTCTGTGTTCGTGTCCGACATCAGCAGCCATCACACTGGATTGTACTTGCCTTCCCATCCTCTGTTTCTGTCCCTGGACCAAAGCTCTGAGCTGGAGGAGCCACGTTTGGTGTTCCCAGTGCCCACAGTGCCCACAGTGGCGGCATTGGTACACTCTTGTGGATCCTCCCAGCGACTCTACCAAAGATAGCTTAGTCCTCACCAGTTTGGCTCAGTGGTAGAGCATCGGCCTGTGGACTGAAGGGTCCCAGGTTCGAGTCCTGTCAAGGGCATGTGCCTTGGTTGCAGGCACATCCCCAGTAGGGGGTGTGCAGGAGGCAGCTGATGGATGTTTCTTTCTCATCGATGTTTCTAACTCTATCCCTCTCCCTTCCTCTCTGTAAAAAAATCAATAAAATATGCATTTGTTAAAAGATAGCGTTTCATCACTTCCATTTTACGGGTTCTCCGCTTAAGCTGTGAGAGGTGAAGTGCTGCCTCCAAGTTGCTGAACCAGGACCCGAACTCCTGGCTTTCCCACTTCGTTGCCTTGTATGTGGGAGCTGGGAAGCCGGTGTCTTTCTTTAAATTTTAGCCATTTCTCCCAGTGGCAGCAGATTCTCGGAGGGCAGGAAGGGAAAGAGCAAGGGAAATCGGAAACCTGTCTGTGAAGTTGGTTTTCGTTGGGTCTGGGGTAAGTAAGGCCAGGGCGAAAGATAGTTTAGGGAGTCCTCTGCCAATGTCAGCCCTGGGGATCAGGCCGCCATTTTCCCCTTTAAGTATATTCTTTCCACTGAGTCAACCCGGTTTCGGCCCTTTAAGTATATTCTTAATTGATTTCTGAGAGGAAGTGAGAGGGAGAGAGAGAAGCATCAATGATGAGCCATGGATGGGCTGCCTCCTGCTCGCCCCACAGTAGGCATCGAGCCCACAACCCAGGCATGAGCCCTGACTGGGAATCAAACCTTGACCTCCCGGTTCACGTAGACACTCAACCACTGAGCCACGCTGTACCTTTTATTCTAAAGGGAAATAAGAATCATAGCCTTCCTGTCGTGGGGAGCTTGCAATCCAGGTTAGGACTAATTCCATCAGGAGGCAGATGATAAAAGCTTGAATCAAATCGCCGTCGGTCTGTGTTGTTCGAAAAGTAAAGGATTAGCATCCGTTGGGGTGAAGGAAGTGGGAGTGAACGAAGTGGGCGTTAACTTCGTCACCAGTCAGGGATGGCCCGCTCCTCTTCCCGGCAGTTTCCAGGAGCTGGAGCTCCGTGTCTAGCCCGGGGCATCTCCCCTTTCCTTCCTCCTCATCCCCTCCCCCGGGCCAGAGAGGGCCACCGGGCTTTTCCATTTGCTGTTCTCGAACTCCCTACAGGTAACCCTCCCGGCCCCTTTGAGGCCTTGCTCTTTCTGGGGCAGAGGTGGGAGGGGAGAGGAAGTGTTTGAAGTTTGGGTTGCTCTTGATGTTTTTGTTATTTCCTTTGGGTGGTGCCAGGATGAACCAGAACCGGGCCCTCTTCTGTACTGGGTGCTTCAGACGGTCCTTCCAGGGATAGAGAGGAAGGAAGGAGAGTGGGCAGCACCCTGGGCAGCGCACCTGGCTTCACCTGTGGAGCAGGTCTCTGCTCTGGGCGCACGCCACCAGAAGCTCTGTGCTGGTTTTGTTGGGAAGCAAGCTCGCCACGTGGGTTTTCTGAACCTGTGGCTTATGGCCATTCAGCCACAGCTCTCTAGTCTATACGGATGCACATAGTGTAAGAACTCCCTTTTTTTTTTTTTTTTTAAAGTATGGTTTTTATTGATTTTTAGAGAGAGAGGAAGGAAGAGGGATAGAGAGAGGAACATCGATGAAAGAGGAACATCATGGATGGGCTGCCTCCTGCATTCCCCCAGGAGGAGTTGAGCCTGCAACCTGGGCATGTGCCCTGACCAGGAATGGCACCGGTGACCTCTTGGTTCCTCCCAGATCATCCCACTGACCTCATGGAGGGCCATGGACACGCCTTGAGTGCTCTTCTGGATCCTGGGGGCACAACGGGGCATACAACCCAGTACCTGCCCTCAAGGAGCTTTCCATCTACAGAGCACGGGGTTTCATTTCCCAGGCCCTGTGCGTGGGGCTTACTGGGTCTGGAATGCCCTTGTCTCTCAGCCCTTGTCCTGCTCTGAAACCCCGTGTGCGCCTCAAGGGGCTTCTCAAGTGCCCGCTCTGTGGAGATCTTGGGGTCCTGCTCTCACTAGCCTCCCCCGTCTGACTCCCAGCACACTGATACCCTCTTGTCGCCCTGCCCGGAGGGGGCCTTTTGGACACTCGGGAACTTACCCATCGCCTTTTCCTTGACCGTAATTTCTTCCACATGGGGCTACATTTTATTTTTAAAAATATATTTTATTGATTTTTTTACAGAGAGGAAGGGAGAGGGATAGAGAGTTAGAAACATCCATGAGAGAGAAACATCCATCAGCTGTCTCATGCACACCCCCTACTGGGGATGTGCCTGCAACCAAGGTTAATCGGAATCGAACCTGGGACCCTTAGTCCACAGGCCGACGCTCTATCCACTGAGCCAAACCAATTACAGCTACATTTTATTTTTTATTTAAAAAAAATATATTCTATTGATTTTGCACAGAGAGAAAGGGAGAGAGAGAGCTAGAAACATCATGAGAAAGAGTCATCGATCAACTGCCTCTTGCACCCCCCTACTGGGGATGTGCCCGCAACCAAGGTACATGCCCCTGACCGGAATTGAACCCGGGTCCCTTCAGTCCCCAAGCCTACGCTCTATCCATTGAGCCAAACCGGTTCCAGCAGCTACATTTTATTTTTAAAAAATAGCCCAACCTCTCTTATCTAGTACAGTCATTCACACGTAGTCTGTGCTCACTAGTTCTTGAGCTTAATTGGAAGAGAAGGAATCCTTAGTGCTTTGGGCCCAGGCCCCTAAGCCGGGGAGGCTGGGCGGCTGTAGCCATAAGGATCAGAGAGAGCTCGGGGCTTGGAGTCACAAAACCCTTGGTCCTCTCTCCCTTTAGTAACTTGCTTTCTGAATTTGGGCAAATGATTAACCGTTTGAAGGCCTGGGACTTCCTGGAGGAACCTCCTCAGGGGGTGGTGGGGCTGCAGTCTGCCCGCTGCCCGCCCCGCCACGGCCTGTGGTTCCGGGAACACGTTTGCTGGACGTGTGGCCAGCTTCCTGGCTGCAGCACAGCCTCCCCTGGCCACGGCCGCCTGCCACAAAGCCTGCTTTCCCTCCCCGCCCCGTCCCTTCGTGTTTTCCAGAGAAATGTTTCTGCAAAGGCCAGAAAACATCCGGGAATTCGCTGCAGGTGAGTAAGGCGGGGCCCATTCCCAGTATTTTTGGTAAACCAGCCCAAGTTGTGTGAATTCAGACTCGCACAGGCCCAGGGTCCTCCCTGCAAGCCTGGGCCACGTCTTCCCCTGACGCCCCCAAGGGACCTTGGTCCTTTCCTCAAAATGGGGGCAGGTAAGAAGTGAGGCAGAACGTGCTTGCAGGGAGAGTTCGGGGTTTGGAGATTCCCTGAGGAACCGGGCGGGCGGCTCCTTCCCTGGGAATCTGGAAGCAGGCTCTCCCCCCGCTGCACAGAGAGCCACCTGGGAGCTTTTAACTGTCACGGAGGCCAGGCCCACCCGGAGGCTGGCGTTTAATTAGCTGGGGTGGGGCTCGGCCTCCGGTTTAAAGGCTCCCAGGTGGCTCTAATGAGCTCCGCTGCCCCAGATGGCTCAGGGTCAGCAGGCTTCAGAGGGGAGGAGGGGCTGGGCCCGGCGGTTTCCTGGGCCCCGGGAGCCGGTTACATCCTCCGACCATTTCCAACGGAACCGAAGCACGTCTTGGCCGCCCCGCAGACGCTGCCTCTGGTTCACACGGTGAGTCTGAAAGTCATTGTCCCCGAGCCTGTCTCCTCTGAGAGGACCTTCCCAGAGAGGGCGTGATCGCGCCGACAGGGGCTGCCAGGCCCAGCGGAGGAGACAAGAATAACACTTGGTATTTATTTGGGCCCCGAGATGGGCCGGGAGCGGAAGAGCCAGAGCTCAGCCCTCTGATGGCTCCCCATGCGTCAGCAAGCCCGGGAGGGCGGTGTGGAGGGAGGGGGCGCCCTGTGCAGGCTCCCCTTGGGAACACTGGTGCTGGCAGGCCCAGGGCTGCTGGGGGGGGGGGGGGGAAGTAGGCGGTGGGTGGTGGTAAAGGGGATGCAGTTTCAGGATTTGCAGTGACATCTCATAGTGGCAAAGCGGGGCCACTAGTCACAGCCCGCTAAGACGGAGCCAGGCTAACTTTTTTAGCAGCCTTTGTCTCTGGGGCTTGGATGATTTCTTCTCTTTGGTTCTTATCCCAGACTATTTCACGGACCCAACACTCCCCGACAAGATTCACACGCAGCTAATTAAGGAGAAGAAAGGGGCTTAATGAGCAGGATCTCGATGCTCAGCTGCTGAGAGCGACTGGGAGGGATCCAGCCCCGGAGGTGGGTGTCCACCTCCTTGCAGACAGAGGCTCCTTCCCTCTCGTGAACAGAAGCGCTGGCTTCTGGGCCCAGCGTGTGAAAGAAAGCAAACGGGGAAGCAGAGGTTTCATGCAAGTGTTTGGTGTTCTTGGCACTATTTTGGGAATTAGGGACTGGAGAGAGGCGCAGGGTGTGTCTAGCATGTCTTCTTGCCTATGTACTGTGGTGAAGGAGAGAGAAAGGAAGTGGGAGTAGTGAGGGGCAGAGAGAGTGACAGGATGGGGGCGGGCCCTGCTAGTATCCAGCCCCTGCTCCCTGCTGGCAGACGTCTTCTCCTGAGTACCTCCCTCGGTGCTGGGGGCCAAGGGCGCTGGGAAAGGTGGGGGCACTTGCCCTCTGCGCCTGGGATTGGGCGCTTTCCCGCTCTCCTCCCCTTCACCCCAGGCGAGGCCATTAGGGCCCCACGCACTCCCCAGGCAGGAGGATCTGAAGTGATTTTTAAGGTTGGGGTTTTTTCTCTCTTTAATGGGAGGTGGGAGAAAGCCACAGTCCGGATTTAGCAGAGCCGTTTCTGTCTTGCAGGGCATCTGGAAGGGAGAGTCTGTTGTCATCGGTGGTGTGGGTTTCCAAGCTGCCGTGGGCTCTGTCTGCTTTGCAAAGGCTTTTAAAGACGCTCATTAAAAACAGGCCTTCCTGCTGTCTCTGCTTCACTTCACTCAGGAGCAGGGCGGGGCTGCCCCGGCTCTGACCTGGTAGGCAGTCGGCCTGTTTCTCTTTTTTTGGGGGGGGCAGCCTGCTGTTTCCACGTGTGCCCCACTAGGTGGACTCCACGCCCCTCCAGACCACCCACTCCCAGAGCCAAGAGTGGATGGAGAGCAGGGCTGGGCCCTGAGGACCACAGCTGGTGTTGCCAAACCAGGCCACCTTCCTGCGGGGGCTTATTTTCTCTTGACCTTAACCTCCTGGGTTACCGTTCAGAGCGCGCAGGTGACTAACTTTATTTCCATAGAGACCATGAGAGGACCTGGGCTGGAAGGACAGCAGGGGAGAATGAGGCTAGACATAGCAAACCCACTCAGGGCCAATGAATACTGGCAAGTGTGAGCCTGCCAGGTGGCCCAGGGGTGGTGGACCTTGCTCTTGAGGATTTTCAGAAATGAGACCTCCGTCCATTTGGTTTTCAGCTAAAGGCAGGGGCACGGGCCAGCTGGTGTTGGGAAGTCCTTTCCAGGCCGGGAGGCCTGGGTGTTGCCTGTTATGTCTTGCCTGGCCTCCCTGGCCCACTGGCTCCACTGTGTGAAGCACCTGTCACCTGAGTGTCACTGGTCAACATCACCATGGCAACAGAAGCACAGCCCAGAGCAGAGACAGTATTTCCCTGTCCCTGCCTGTCTCGTTCTCTGCTGCAGTAGTAGAAAGGACAACAAAACACAGCATTTAGATAACCATTAAAGCCACACACAGTAAGCTATGGAACAGGAACCTGACGCATTATCTTAAGCACTCTCAGAATCACACACCAGCCGCTGTGGCTCTGTTTAGACAATCCTAACGAAGTCTTCAGCAAAAAAACACATCCACTGAGGGCCTCTGATGTGTTGTATTAGACACTTTTGGAACGCTTCTTGGAAGAAGTGACCCAGCAATAATATAGGAAAAGAGCCCTAACCGATTTGGCTCAGTGGATTGAGTGTGGGCCTGTGGACTCAAGGGTCCCAGGTTCGATTCCGGTCAAGGGCATGTACCTTGGTTGCAGGCACATCCCTCATAGGAGGTGTACAGGAGGCAGCTGATTGATGTTTTGCTCTCATCGGTATTTCTAACTCTCTATCCCTCTCCCTTCCTCTCTGTAAAAAATCAATAAAATATATATTTTAAAAAATAATATAGGGAAAAGATAAAAGAACATCGGGGCTCACAGAAACTGGCCTGTGATGGGTAAGAAAGGATTTGCAGATGTGGGGAGAGGCGTGGGGCAGCCAGAGTCCCACAAGTGCTTCCATTCTGCTGAGCAGATGGTAGTGGCTTGTCACCTGCTCCTCATCACCCCATTCTTCCTTGCTAACAGAACACCAGTTTTTAAAAAATATATATATTTTATTGACTTTTTACAGAGAGGAAGAGAGAGAGAGATAGAGAGCTAGAAACGTCGATGAGAGAGAAACATCGACCAGCTGCCTCTTGCACACCCCCTACCGGGGATGTGCCCGCAACCAATGTACATGCCCTTGACCGAAATCGAACCTGGGGCCGACGCTCTACCACTGAGCCAAACCGGCTTCGGCCAGAACACCAGTTTTGTTGAGGGAAGCAGGGGGCTGGATCCCAAGCGGTGGACTGTATTTATCTCAGCCAACCACAATAATTATATACCCCAATTTCCCAGGCTCCCTCACGACTAGGGGCAGCCACGTGTCCATGAGCTAGCTCCAGGTACATGTGCTGGGTGTTTCTAGGAAAGCTTTTGCTTTCATAACAAAAATACAGGAGGGGGTTGTGACATGATGAAGCTGGTGTAGCCTGCCCTTCTCTCCTTGGTTTGAACCTGAGTGTGATGTCGAGCCGAAATAACAAACCGGAGGGTGAGAGCCAGCCCTCTGCAGAAGACTCTGGCAGCATCGTGGAGCGCCCCGACAGCCCAGCCCTCACCTGCCTTCAGACTTGGTAAGTGAGGAAAATAAATCCCTAATTTGTTATGAAGTAAAGAGCCGAGTTTAAAAATATATTTTATTGATTTTGTACAGAGAGGAAGGGAGAGAGATAGTCAGAAACATCGATGAGAGAGAGTCATCGATCAGCTGCCTCCTGCACACCCCCTACTGGGGATGTGCCCGCAATCAGGGCACATGCCCTTGACCGGAATCGAACCCAGGACCCTTCAGTCCCCAAGCCGACGCTCTATCCATTGAGCCAAACCAGTCTCGGCAAAGAGCAGAGTTTAAATCCTGACACACTACTTACTATAATAGATGTGTGGGCTTGGCCATGCCACTTAACTTGTTTGAGTGTGAATCCCACCTCTCAGGGCTGTGGGATTAAGGATGAAGAATGGGAGGTACCTGGCGTGTGGGGGCTGTTCCCTAGGGGTGTGTCCTATTGGAAGAGAGTAAAATGCAAGGGTGGAACAGCGGGAAAGGTGGGGACAAATCGCAAAGGGCGGCACCGTGTGTTAGACAAAGGAGGTTCGTTTTTTTTAGCCCGTAGGCCCATGGTCGGCTAACTGCGGCTCTCTGGCTTCTTGAGTATGGCTCTTCCACAAAACACTGGGCGAGTCTATTTTGAAGAAGTGGCGTTAGAAGAAGAAGTTTACGTTTAAAAAATGTGGCTCTCAAAAGAAATTTCAATTAGTTGTACTGTTGATATTTGGCTCTGTTGACGAATGGGTTTGCCGACCACAGCTGTAGACGATGGAGAGCCAGCAGAGAATTTTAAGCCAAGAGGAGTCAGTGGAGAGATCTGTATTTAGAAAGTGTCACCGTGTGGAAGCCAATGGCAGGAAGCTGGGACCAGCTGGAAAGACTGAGAGGGAGACAAGCGCCGTAGTCCAGTCATATCGTCTCTCACCTGCACCCGCGCTTAGTCTCTTTGTTGACTCGCACGTCCACTGAGTAAGCTGAGAATGTATTTGGTTTAATGTAACAGAAAGCCCAAGTTATAGAGTCTTATGCAGATAGGAGGTTTTCTCACCTAATAAAGCTGACTTCGGAGGAGGTAAAAAATATGAGAGGTTGGGCAGACATCACACCTGATTCCTTTTAGGCCCTGATACCGTTATTGCCCAAGCATATTGTCCCCTTTCCTCTGCTCTCTCGTCCCCCCTGTGGTCACTGAGAACTGAGGACAGGGAAGGACCTGGTCCCTGGGGGTGGGAGTGACGTAGGTGAAGAGCAGCGTGTTGTTGGGTTCCACCCTCGCCCACCCCCACATTTCCCCAGGAGACCCTTGAGTCTAGCCGTAATTTTCCACGCAGGCTGCAAGTCAGAATCAGGTGGAGATTGTCGTAAGCAGGTGGGGGGTATTTTTCTCGCCTACCGAGGCTGGCAGCTGGCAGTAAGGTTTAACGATGCTGCCGGCACCCAGGCCAGGCTTCCACCTGCCCGCTGCTGGCCTTGGCCTGTGACCGCCCAGTCTGAAAGGCTCTGTATCCCCAGCGGCCATTCCTGTGCTCCGAGCGGGGAGAAGGGAGGAGGGCCAGACCAGCGGACTCCATCCCTTTCAATCAGGAAAGAACGTGTTTCTGAAAACCCTCCTCCCCGGGTCTCATGGAGTCCTGTGGTTCACCCCAAGTGCAACAGAGACCGGGAAGGGGAACAAAAGGTGCAGGAGAAGAGTGGGAGTGGCTCAGTCAGCCGCAGAGCAGGGTCGGCCCACCTGCATCCCTGACTCATCCCCCCGTCACAGCTCGAATGTCCTTTTAAGAAACCTCAGTCGGAGCATGTCATCCTTGAGCCTAAAGCCCTCTGGCAGTCTCCCCATGCACTTAGAATGAAACCCAGGGGCTACGAAGCTTTCCCAGACCCGCACCTCTCTGACATTACTCCCTCGCCTCCTCTTTTCTCTCTTTCTTCAAACATGCCAAGGCCGTCCCCACTTTGGGGGTCTTTGGACTCTGCCTGCATCCCTCTTGCCCAGATCTTCACGGGGCTGGTGGTCCGAGTTGGGGTGCTCTACCGGGAAAGGGAGAGAGAACTCGGCTTGCTGTTCTCGCATGGCAGGTGTGGAGGTGGCGGCTGCGGGTGTTGGTTCAGCGCCTGCCTCTCGGCACTTTCCTCTTCTCCTTACGGTCCAGGAGGAGCTGGAGGACCAGGCAGGGCCTCTGCCCTGAGACTTGCCCTTCTTTTCGGGAAAGCAAAGGCTCCCCTCCGCTCACTTCCGCTAACATTGCATTGGCCAGGCCTGTGTACGAGAGGCTGAGTATTTAGCGGCCGACAGTATCCCGGTAGCTGTGTGTCACTTTCTCTGA